CTGAAGCAGCAGCCCAGACTCCCTTCACATTTATCTGAGTGGGAATCCCATAGCTGAGCTTAGGTTAAATTAAAAAATTGGACATATAGAACATTAACCTATTTCTTTTGGACTTTAATTTTCACAAGAAAAAGTAGATTTTCTTTGGTCACAGATTTCGTGAGGAAACTTAATAGAAAACAGGACTCACATCATTCAAATCTAGGGTATTTTTTGCTCCTGACATTTTGGTTATTTGGACAAGCTGTCATCTGATGGTTACACTGCATAGCTCTCCAGTGAGTTCTGCTGGGTTCCATAACTACACACAATCTGAGATAAGAAATAAGGTAATGGTGAACTGATGACCCAGGAACAATGTGGCCTTGGAGCTGACTTAACTACTGTCTCTTTCAAACCATTTCAGAGACATCTGAAGACAAAAAAAATATATTCATCTCACTGATTCCCAAATCAGGGGTAGACATCATGGGAGAAATTCCCCCAGAGTGGAAGGATTCCCGTCTTCTAAAGGAACAATCAGTGAGCTAAAAGAGAGCAAAATGTTGGTGGGACAGCCCGGCCCATTCTCCCCGTGCCAGGCCCACACCTGGTCCACCCACTTTTTGGCCCCCTGAACTCCATGTATGGAGTGATAATAATGATAATACTACTACTATTAATAATGCCAACACGTAACATTTACTGAACACTTACATGTGCCTGGCACTATGACAAATTCCTCACATAAATTATTCCACTTAAGCCCACCATAACCTTAGGTGTTATCAACATCATCATCATCATCATCATTTCAGACCTTAATGCTTATTCTATTAATTCACTCATGGAGCTAACCTTTTTGAAAATAGGCAAAACGTGTTCCAGAGTCAAGCTCTGTGCCCTCTTTTCCTCTTCCTACCTCCATGTGGCTAGGCAGGGGCAGGCTGTCTAATTTGACTGTCTTCCTCTATGCAACAGATACGGAAGAAGGTGCATTTAGGATGGGCATGGGACAGTGGGGAAGAGAAGGCCCTAATTAGATCTCAAGCCTAAACCGCTTCTACCCAGTCTCTGCCTGCCTCAGTACCGAACAGAAAACTAACTAACACTATCAATATAGTGTTCCTCTGATTCTTAGTTCCTTAATGATCTATATGATCATCGTCTGTGAGTATTCTATGAAAAGGTGGATCAACAGGCAGGTCAGGGTTTAGGCATTCCTGGGGTGTCTGGCCATAATGCCATCCTCATTTCAAATAAAAACTGACACAGGAAATGTACTGTATTCTTTTCATGTTTAGTAAGAAGGAAAAAAAAAGAGAGAGAGAGAAGCATCATGAGCTCCTTAATCTTGTTCTCCAAAGCTGAGATGTGACATGTGAGTCTCTAGGTGCCTCTAGATAGAGGATAGCACTAGGGGCAGAGGCCAGATCAGGTCTGCTGAAGCAGCAGCCCAGACTCGGAGAGGATTCAAGCATCGGGTGTGTGCGTCTACCTCTATGAATCACACTAAGCTGGCTCAACAGGCAACACTTTAAAATAAGCTGAACACACACCAAGAGTGCCTGCAAATCAGAGGATTCCTTTAAAAACTTAGGAAATTGGTTATTAGTGACTGAGACTGAAAGAGTATAAATAAAAACCTGATATAAACTTTAAACTATTTGAAACAAATATATTGTTACTATCACTGTTACAAAGAAAACTAGACAACCACATTCTATAATCTGTGTATTTATCCCATAACTTCCAATTTAAACCTTTCTATTGCAAAGCATGGCATCCTCCTCATGCAAAGTAACTACAGTCACTCGGGTGGTTTCCACACTCACAGAAAGGAAGGTGTGCACTTTGTCTCCCCCTACCTTTTCAGCTTCATCCCATATCTCAACCTCTCCTAGGAAGTTTTCAGGTCTTGTTGACAAATTTAATTGAAAGGAGAAGCCAAATGTTGAGTAAACAGATTGCAAAAACTGCAAACAGCCATTTATTTCTTCTTCAATCTGACATGAGAGCAAAAGAAATATTCTAAATTAGAGAGTTAAAACCAAATTAAATTAAATTAAGAAATAAAGTATGGTTTGGAGGAGCAAGATGGCGGAGGAGCAGGAAACCTAAATTTCGTCTGGTGCCAGGAATTCAGCTAGATAGGGATCAAACCATTCTGAACACTTACAAACTCAACAGGAGATCGAAAAAAAGAATAGCAGCAACTCTCTGAACAGAAAAGCGACCACTTTCTGGAAGGTAGGATGTGCGGAGAAGTGAATCTGAGGCGATATTCCTGAAGATAGACGGCGGGGAAGGGGGCCTCCGTCGGCCGCTTCTGGCAAGTGATAGAGCCGCAGAGCACAAAATCAGAACTTTTAGAAGTCAGCTCCGCTGAGGGACGTCGCTCCAGTGGCTAAGCGGGGGGTGGAACCCTCTCGGGGACAGTGTGGTCTCAGGACCCTCGGGGTCACAGAAAGACCGGGGGTGCCTGAGTGCAGCAGAGCTCCCAGGTGTTGGAGCAGGGAAGCCGGCTGCAGAGATGGAGCCGAGGAGTGGGCCTTCAGCTCGGGTAGGGTTGCCATAAACCATGATCCACGGCATAGTCGGGCCACTGCTCCTCCAGCAGGGACCCAACAAGCGGCAGATCCGGGAGACTCCCCTTCCTCCCCCAGAAGTAGCGGCACGGAAGCACACCACAGGGATCTGCTGGTTTTAGAGACTCCAC